CCCCCCCCCCCCCCCCCCCCCCCCCCCCCGAAGTTCAGTGTTGCAAACCTGATTGCACAGCTAACGTGAGAGCTGGTCTGGGTCGCTTGCACGGCGGTGGCTTTCACTGTGCACATTGACCCTTCTTAGAGATCAGGGTTGGTGTATATATAAGAAACGCCCGGCAGTGGCTTCTCAGCTGCCCCACTGAAGTCAATTGTGTGTGTTTCATCCTGTCTTGTCGGACTTGATGCAGGGCCCCTCTGTTCAAACCGACCAAACTGCTTGTGAGCTACCAGCTTGGTTCTCCCTTTTAGAACTATAAATGGGTTAAGCTTTTAAAGGCACATGAAATTAATCCTGAACTGGGTGCAGGGCGGGGACTGGACTATTTGATGTCTGACCAAAGCAGACTGAGGAGCTGGGAACTTTGTTCTGTTCAGCAGGTTTCCTGCATGTTAACTTTGATCCCATTTCTCCCTTGGGCAGGAAGAAAGTACAAGTCTTCTACAGATCACAAGGCTATTAAATGCTGTGCAATGAGGGCTATAGAGATCTTGAAACATCTGCCACTTTTCCATTCCTTGGCAATGGGATTACCCTTAGGGATGGCCCTAGGTGCCTGGGAACCCTAAGTGCAGACACCTCCCCCTTTCCCTTCACCTCATTCCCTTGTCTGCAAAGTTTCTGACCCCATGGTTGGCTAGATAGATCTGTCTGCGGCTGCTACTTTAATTCCTAAATGTGACTCAGACCCCTTACAACTAAAATCACAGAGCATATGCTGCTGTGCAGGCCAGAGCAGAGGTGGGACCTTGTTTGGAGGATGGACTTTGTGCCATAAAGCAGTTTGTTAGCCAGTGAACATGGTGATACAAATACAGTAGAACTTCAGAGTTATGAGCACCAGGATTATGAACTGACCGGTCAACCACACACCTCATTTGGAACTGGAAATATGTAATCAGGCAGCAGCAGAGAGACACAAAAAAGTAACTGCAGCCTGGTAGTGTGTTAAACGTAAACTACTAAAAAAAATGAAGGGAAAGTTTAAAAACAATTGACAAGGTAAGGAAACTTTCTGTGCTTGCTTCATTTAAATTACGATGGTTAAAAGCAGCATTTTCCTTCTGCACAGTAAAGTTTCAAAGCTGTGTTAAGTCAATGTTCAGTTGTAAACTTTTGAAAGAACAACCAGAACGTTTTGTTCAGAGTTAAACATTTCAGAGTTGCAAACAACCTCCTTTCCTGAGATGTGCGTAACTCTGAGGTTCTACTCTATTCTCCTGAGGTGCCCTGGTGAATTCCTGACTGGGCTGTGCTTATGGCCAGCCCTGATTAAAGTGGGCAAAATGTTTAAGGCTCATTGATAGCATGAAACTGAGGAGGAAGGATGGTCCAGTGATTAAACAGAATGGGGAGTCAGAACTGCTGGTTCTGTCACTAACTTGCTGTGTGACCATGTCACTTAACCTCAGTTTCCCCATTTATCAAATGGGGATAATATCTCCCTCCCTCACAGAGGTGATGTGAGGCTTAATCAGTTTGCAAAGCAATTTGAGAGCCTCTAAGGAAAGGCACTGTGTGACTTGCACGTAGTAGTAGTCCTATGACAACAACCCACTATGCTGAGCTTCACTCTCTTCTGCCACATGAAATACTAGTCTCTCAAGGTGGGAGGCTGCACCTTGGATTCTGACCAGTGTTTTAAAGTCAGACTGAAAACAGCCTGTTCCTTTCTCTGGAAGCACCTGGCTGTGTGGGACAGTAGGGTTAGTACACCAGCCATTCAGCTATCTCACTGGACAAAGATCACAAATGTTTGATCCTAGTCTAGTTCCAAGCATGCCAACATCATTTATTTTGCACCATTAGCAGAATTTGCTCATAGGAGAATCAGCAGTGGGAGAGCTGCAGGTGACAATCATGGTGTGGTAGGAAGAGAGCTGGAAAGAAGCTGGACAGCTACTACTCACACTATCCTTGCCTCTGCCTAGTGATGGTCTGTCATCAAGTTTAAAACCCCCCATCTTCTCCTCCTTCCCAAATGTCCATCTCTAGAAACACCCCGTGTGTCCACACTGGCTCTTGAATCTTAAGCAAACCCCATTTACTGATGCAACCTGGATTGTCCAAAGCAGGAACTATGGGTATAAGAGTTTTCTTCAAATGTCGTAATCTCTGCAGCAACCAACCACCCCAAATGTAGTAATTCAGCCTGGGTCCTCACTCGTTGTGTATGAGAACTAATAAGGATAGCTTTTTAGTGGGCTATTGATTTTGCATCAGTCTTTTCTCTCCCCTTCTCCCCTCCAGCTCAGTAATTGTACTAGAATCTTGTGTTTCAAAATCTTTATCTCGCTCCTTCCTAGCAGTGAGTCTGACCTCCCAGCCCTCAGGGCCATGGCCTAACAGGGCAAACAGAGTTCAAAAACAACAACCTGATTAGTAAGTATCCAAGTAAGGAGGGTAGGAGGATATTTTGTAAAGCACAAAGAAGAGAAACCCAGTCTTGTACGTGGATTTAACATGTCATGCACCCCTGGCAAATTATTACAGATGCATAGACAATAGAAATACTACAGCGAATGCCCAGAACACTGCAGTGTTACTGTTAACTGTAGTGGTTTGAGCACTTGAAGTAGAATACGGTGGTATTTTTACAGGCAGCTGCAGTTGCAGATGAGTATTGTTTGGCAAGCTGTGAACGGGGCTCTGAAACCTCTTTTCACACAGTTCAATCAGGAATGCAAGTGGTGGCATGCTTTTATTTCTAAGAGTTTACCATCAGTTACAGCTACCCACATACAGACCCGATTTTCAGAGGGGCTGAGCCCTTGCAACTGCCAGTGTGTTCTCAGCACCTCTAAAAAGGGGTCAGTTGTGCATGTGCCTTTTTAATGCTGACCTCTGAACCTAGGTGGGATCACAGCAGACCTGTCTGAACAGAGGGCTTGTGCTGTGCACCTGTAACTCTCACCAATTTGTGGCTCTATTATTTCTCACTACTTGGTCATACACCCTTCTCCTCCCCAAGCATTGGTATGAATGTGACTCATGAAATTATTCATTGCATTTTTTTCCTTTCTGTTAACGTTGTCCCCTGTTCTGTTTGCCTCTGGGAAGCTGATATGCAGGCAGCTGTGTGCTACCATGGAAATGTAGTAACGGGGCAGAGACCTAAGAAGCAGTGGTACCCCAACAGGATGAAGATCTCCACCCGGCACTGGTGTCTGCCTCTTTGAATATATTCATGACTGTTGAGTAAGGGCTTCCAAAGCCGAGGGGGGGAAAGGGATCCCAGCAACAAAAGCAACTACGCATTTCTAGCAAAGGAGATTTGAGACTTCTGAGCTCAAGGGAGTGATACCATATTTTCTAGTCTGTTGCAACAAATGTTTTTTTTTTCTTTTACGTGCAACGATACGAAGCAAAACAAATCCACAACTTAATGTAGCATGTTGCAATTTTTTTGGGTGGAACAGACATTAGTAAATTATAAGATTCCACAGTACTGTCCTGTCCTACAAAGAGTATGGTAAAAAGTCTTAGCAATGGCGCTAGTATGTGTATGTCTAATGGTACTTTAATTCGCCTCAGTTCCTGGTGAGCAGTAGAAAACAATTCCAAGATTTTGGGAATAGCTGTTTATTCCAAGTTATGAAACTCAGCTGCATGGGTTTTCATACACTTTTCTTTAAAGCCACTCCAAGCCTAAGTGGGAGATGGATATAACTTAAGGAAAACTGTGTCTGCAAAGGAGTTATAATCCTAGTGATTATTGCTGGATATCACCCATGGTACGAAGCCTGCTTTCACTACAATACTTGATGTTTTTATGGTAAGGAGGACACAATCAGGTCTCTTTCCCTTAGTTTATCACACTGAATAACTGGAGAGTTTGCTCCTTTCTATACCCTCTCTTGCATCTGCCATGTTTTTTAAATGCAGTTATGAGCTAGCGGGTTCGGTTTTTAAAGTCTGATTGTGATTTAGCACTTCTTTGATACTAGCTCATTTGTGAATTACCATTAGTGTAACAGTATTTCAGAATACGAACAAACACGGAGTTATATTCTGGGCATTACACTGAAACAGTCCATACTCAATGATAATTCTAATCAATCTAAGGATGGCTGGTCCCAAGCAGTCTCTCATTCTTAAACAGAACACAATCTTGAAGGTGCTTTTGTAATTATGCTTCATTTAAACTACCAGAGTATTTAATGGTGGCTTTGGCTGTGACAGTTGTGTGAACTGATGTTTTCCAGTGCCCTGACCATCAGGACCTTGTTGGAAGGAGAGATGGTAAAATGGGCATGACTTGGTTCTTGAAATGTAAAAACAGGGCCTGCCATGCCACGACTGTGATCTCAGGCAGGTGTGATGGTTTGGTAGTGCCCTGTTGCTTATTAGAATTTTGTGTCCTAACTATTTGTTTTTAACTCCAGTTGCTGCTGTATCTGTCAGGATTTAATTTAGTTTCATTCCAGCTGATGGTGAGCGCGGAGAGAAACAAACAATCCCCAGGGCCTAGACCTGTCAATGATTAGTGGGCAGAAAACAAACGGTTTTTAAAAATTAGTGAATTTAGGAAACTTAACATTCCTCCTTATACCCACGTTGCAGTTCATACTGATGTAAGTGTAAATATTCGGCGTGTTGGCAGAGACTGAACCCCTGCTTTGGAGAGGGATAGCTCTCTGTTGGATGCATGAGCTTTTGAGGTTGGCTGGCAGTAAAAGTGGTGACGAAGACTCCAGTCTTGCTGTTGTCTCCAGTGACCCAGCAACCCCCTTTGCAGTTCTCTTGCTAGATGTTTTTCTCCAAGACATAGAATACGTATTGCCGAGGAGCGAAGCTTTGGCGGCGTATGTTTTAGTGTGGTATGTTTTCAAGGTACTTGCCTGGTAGGGCTCTCTTCCTGGGCCCCAGCCTCTATTTTTCAGGAGTTCAAGAGGCTCCCAGTCTTAGTACTTTGCCATTTGTACACTGTTCAGACTCTTGTGTTCCTACAGGGATTCACAGTATCTGGAGGAAAGTGTCCTAGATTGCTGTTACTGAATGGGATTAATTTTTCAAAGTGTTGAGCTAGTTCTGGCACCACCCTGTGAGCCATTTCCTTCCCTTTTTCAAAGGATAGACTGTATTCTAGAGCACCCTCCATTTGTATCTGGTATGCGCCAAGCTGAGAACTCTAGACAGACACTAAGATTAATAGCTGAATTGTCTCTTTAAAATGAGGGTGCAATCATTTATGTATTCAGATTAAAGCTGCTGTATCCTATTTTATTCTGTACCTATTAAAAAAAATGGTAATCTCGGCTGTTCAGTTTTGTCTTTAAATTCTAGAAAAAAGTTGGTAATTGGATTTGAGGTACACCCCCATTCCCCTTGCAGAAAAAGGGTATTTGGATGTGCTTGAAGGGGAAGCTGAGCTGGACTGCTGCCCTTTGTGAGGCTGCTGCATTGTCACCAAATGGTATCCCTGAGCAACTCCCATTTCTTGATCTGTGAAACTGATGTGGGCTCAGCTACATTAACACTCCCTCATTCCAGAGTTCAGATAGCTATCGGCAGGAATTTCAGTGGTTTTCCCTTATGCTTACCATCAGTTGAGTGCAGTAGGGTTTTTCATTTTATAACAAGCTCTGTTTGTTTGCCATTCCAAACTCCCTTTTAGATCCTACATTGACATATTTAGAGCTACCTGTCCAACCAGAAGCAAATTTGATGCTCTTGAAATGGGAGAGCTAACTCAATTTTTTGTCTTTTGAAAAATAACCTGAGATTTCCCCAACAGGGCAGAGAACAGTCAACTTCAGTTTGCAATTTAGACCTTTTTACTAATTGTGATGTATGGCAGTGGGACTGATTTGTAATAAAAATGTTATTTAATCTGTCTCTGTATTTTGATACTTGAATTTTCTTTTTTCCTGTATATACAATTGTTAATCTGTTTGAATTTTTGTCTGAATTTTAAACATTTTGTGGTACCAAACATAACCAATCTGTGCAACAACATAGACTGACCTCACTACAACAAGGCGAGATTGTAAATATTTCTGGGCTTCCAGCGGTCGTTTTGTTGTTTTTCATAACTGTACAACTTAGAACAGACTGAATTAATAAATAAACTCAGACACACACCTTTGCTTTGTTTACTGTGATGTAGATAGTGTGGAAGTCTTTAATTTTCATTTTTTAAATTTGAATTTGGTCAAGAAATAAGCACTGGCTGGTGCCTGGAACCAAAGTGGCTGTTTGTTTTGGTTAAAGCAGGGAAATATTTTATCTATATACAAATTTAGTGGAGAAAATGACTTGTCAGGGCAACCATGAAATATCTCTTTGGTCTATTACCTTTTACTTGTGATTATCATTCAGTAGCCAACTTCTGCTAACTTTTACAATAGAATATAAAACTGTTTGAGCTGATAAATGGTAAGAACTCTCCCTCCTGAACACTACTGTGGGATTTGAATTTATCTGTTCAACATTTTCATTCTCCTGCAGAAGATGAGGGCTGTGCACCTAAGGTTTGTAGGACAAGCAGAGGAAGCACACATTCTGCTCCCCTTTGACTGCAAGTTAGTAACGGAAATTAATCACATGAAATAAACTGTAAAATGGTTTGGCTCAAGACCTGCATGACAGTTTTAAATTAAATCTACTTTTTTTGTAAGATGAGCTAGTGTTAGTTTAATAGTGTGGACCCACTTCCTTCACATGAGACAGCTGCTTCTTTGACCTCATTTTTCCTGAACCCTCTAATTAATGCTAATCACTGCTGTTGCCCCATCTTACTGCTGACATGTCAAAGGATAGTGGTTCTCTTGGTTATGATTACAAAGCCTGAAACACTACTGATGAGGCTATTCTATATCATTTATGTCCAAACAAAAAAATTAAATCCTTTTAATCGCAGTACGCAGTTCTCATGGTCCCATGAATGTAGAGATTTATGAATGTGTCTTCTGAATAATCCTGATAGAGCTTTAAAGGACCCCCTAAAAAAACTCTCCATGAAAAGTATTAAATATTCAGCATTATATTTTTGAAATGTCAAGCCCATTTATTAAAAACATAGGTATAAATGCACATGGGGGTGCATGGCTGAAGCCCATACTCGCAGCACCTTTCATCTCTCCTCCCCTGCCCCCCAGGATGAAAAAAAAACTAGTTCTCTTCCCTTCACCCCCATCCCACATTTACAGATGGGCAACTTGTGCCGTGGAGGGTGAGGGGATTGGCAGGACCATAACCTATGCATCCTTACCACAGTTCAACTGCCAACTCCTAGAAAACACTGCTTCTCCCTGCAACAAAACAAAGTTCCCACACCCTAGCCATCTTTTAGCCAAAGCAATTCTTGCTGTACTACATCAATAGTTTGATATTAAGATACAATTGTAACAGAACCTCAAAGACCCTGGCAGCTCTGATTGCACAGTATTGCTCTAGCAGAAAGAGTTTACTAATGCAGCTTTAAAGTATTGAAAATTCACTAGTATAAAGGAGATGGAGGAAAAGCCCCACATTTAACAATGCATGTTAAAATTTAGGAACTGGTTACAGTAGATTTGAATGCAAAAATACTAAATCCAGAGGGGATTAAATTGAGCTAGTGTAGATGGCACATATGAAGTAAACCTGATTTTAAAGTTAACACTGAAGGAGTATATCAGTTACATTAGAAAGTAAGCTCTGTCATTAACACAAAGCATCTTAATCAAATCCCCTCTCCCTGGCTGAGACTAAGAGGTGTCTGGAAAGCAGGCTAAAACCCACAGTTAATGGCAAGGCAAGAAAAAAATCAGGGTTCAAATTCACAGGATGCATTACAACATTATGAAATCTATCTAGGTTATCTTACCATATTTATTCAAAGTAATGAGACCAACTAACA